TAGCAACAGTCATTCTACTAGGAACACCAAATTTTGGTTGCAACTCATGAACAAGTTCCCTAAATCCTTCACCCTCTACAACACTAAAGGGTTGTTCATCCTTAAGCACAAACCTAGCCACGGCTTTGCGACATCTCTCTTTATTAAATGACACCTCATTTTCATTGATAGTAGGAAAGTTAAGCAATTTTTGTTTTTTATCGCTAAAGCTATCCAAATATTTCTTACATTGGTTCCTTAGGTGATTCCACAAAGAACTTGTGCCAATTTTCTTACTATGGTAAGCATAGTCTTTTCCACAATAATTACAAAAACATCTAGAGTCCTTTTTTGAAAAGTGATCCCAAACGTTTGAAGTTCTACCACCCCTTTTCTTATATGAGTTTGGTTCATCATTGTCTTCGATTTTTGGAGATTTAGGAGTATCTTACATTGCTCCTATACATCGTCAATTAAGATAACATTTTCAGAAAGATAAACCAACAAAATAGACAACAAAATAAATCAATAAACCAACAAAATAGGCAACAAAATTAACCAATAAACCAACAGAAATACACACACAATTAAACTACGATGATCCTGTAATTGTAAACAACTAAGTACTGACAGTTAAATTAATAGCTAAGCGCCTAAGCATCCAACAATGAACATTTTCTTCTACAATGAACAATTAAATACTTAAATTAATACTGCAATTGCATTTAAAGGCAAGAGAAGTTCCACGTAGCATGAAAAATTCTTCTACACTTGCTTCACAACAATAAATAACAAAAATACGTGAAAAAGAAGGTTGCTTACTTGCTTACAGGACGATTTCTGGTTGATTTTCTGGGTTGATTTCTGTTTAGTGGTTACTTGCTGTGAGTACGGTAAATTTCTGGGTCGAGGGTTGACCCAGGGAAGAACGAGTGACGATGGCGACGGAGGGAGACGGCGACGAAGGCGGTCGACGGCGACGGAGAAGAAATAGGGAATAGCGACGATGGCGAATCGGCAATTAGTGTTTGATTTTGATTGTTTCTAAGAAGCCATCAAGCCAAGCAGTCAGCAGAAGGTGGAACCGCAAGCAAGGGACGTAGGAGAAGGAGACGGTAGGGTTGTGTTTGATTTAATTTCTAAATCCAATTGCTATTTTTGTTAGGCTATTGGCCTGTTGGTACTTGGGCTAACACATAAGATTTAAGTTAAAGAAGGCTTAAGGATTATTGGGCTAAAAGTTTAAAGACCAAATTTTCAAACAAACATGAAACACCTTCTTAATTTTTGTAAATATCACACACACACACACACACACATATATATATATATATACATAATTTTATAAAAAAAATATACATTAGCGGCGGGTTGGCGGTTTGGGTTGGGTTAAGTTATGCCAACCTAATTTCAACCCTTCTAATTAGCGGTTTGACGGTTTAGCGATTTGGTGGTTTGGGTTGGGTTAAGTTATGTCAACCCAATTTCAACCCTTCTAATTAGCGGTTTGGCGGTTTAGCGGTTTGGCGGGTTGGGTTTAATCGGATTGTTAGCGGTTCGGGTTGGGCGGGTTTTGCGGGTTGACGGTTTTTTGTTCACCCTTATTTGAGGGAGAGTTGGTTGATCATGACAGAATTGCAGTATCTGTTGAAAGGGAGCAACCGAGTTCTCAGCCTATAGTATCTGTTAAGGGGAGCATCAACAGATCATTTCTTATCAGGTTGCTATTACTTCTTCTTCTTAGGTTGTTATTATTGCTTCTTCTAGGGACATGGTTCCAACTCATCGAGAAGGAAATGCACCCATGACATCTGATGAAGAAGCTACTTAAGCTAAAGCAACCAAGCTTGTAAAGAATCAGACTGAAGCCTCATCAAATGACAAACTTGTGCTTAAAGCTTTAGCTCCTCTTAAAACTAATCTTCATCTACTAGGCATTTCAGTTGAGCATGCGGCCAATTGAATTGCTCTTCAAAAGCAATTTGATGAAGCCAACAGGTTTCACTCTTTGGTCTAACGATCAGAAACTGAAGAAACCAAAGAGAAACGAATAAGATGGTTCAATGACTCAATTCTCCATCAGTATATTGCTATCCGTATTATCAATGCTAGAATTAAAGGTCCTCAAAAATTAATTTACGATTTAAATCAGATTTATTTGATAATTGGTCGAGCAAACAAAGTAGTGAGAGCCGAAAACTGTCTTGGATAAATGCTTATGGCATATCTGAGTAGATGGAAACAATCAACTTTCTCAAGAAGAGCATAAGCATGTATCGAGAGTTTGTCTTGGATCATTTGTATCGTCTCTTGAAAAAGATAAAAATGATCAAGAAACACTACAAGTTGTCTTCCCCTCCACAACTCTCTTCTCTTAAGTTACTATGAATAAAGTCGACTCATCTAAATCTGCTTCTACTTCTCAATCTGTCAAAAAGCAAGATTCTCTAATTCAGAAGATGTCATAGGAAGGTAAGGTCCTTGATATCTCACCTCTTGATCTTACTCTTCCTACTAATGACTGTCATCTAGTAGTATCCTTCGATTTTTCCAGGCTTCTGAGATACTAATAGTTGAATCTTAGCTATTTTGTGTGATACTTAGTATCATTAAAATTGGTGAAGCCGGAAGAGTCTTCTATACCTTGATTTCAGATGAACTGAAGAAAAGAGATGCTTTTGCAGCCACAGATATAAATGTTATGGAAGTAGATGATGACTGCTAGCTGATCTATCTATGTGACTTCTTCTTCTTGAACTATTTTCTTCATTGTAAGTATCTAATTCATTGTACAGTATAGATGCAATTTATATTTCAGTATTTACTTCAAAAAAAAATTCATTCTTTATTTTTTGCTCTCTGATACATTATTTGTTTCGTATATACGTTTACAGTTTAAAAAAACACAAAAAAAAAAAAACCCAAAAAAAATATGTACACGGGTCTGCGAATTTATAAGTTCTTATTCTTAAAAAATTTAAGAATTTGTGAGTCTTGTATTTATTTTCTTTCTAAGTGTTTTTGTCATCATCAAATAGGGGGAGATTGTTGGGCCACCTATTGATTTGGTGATGACCCACTGATCTGTTCCTCTACCTTAGCAACACTTAGTAGTTATTGGTTCTTTGTAAGTTGGTGTCTTGGTACATACTTAAAGCCAATGGCAAAACCGAAGACGAGCCGATGTGAAAGCAGAAGGTCACCGATGCGGTACTGTGGATCAACTGTCTAAATTACACACCAAGACTCCAGAGTAGTTGATTTGAAGATTGAAGATATTTTGAAGCTACAAGTCGATTGAAGGAAGATCTTCATGCACCGAAGATTCGTAAGTAGCTGTTTAAAGCTACCAATCCATCCAAAGAAAATCTTTCTACAGACTGATCATATCTCTGCAAAAGTTTGTCTCTTGACGAACAATGTTGTATGCATGCGGTGTACAATGAAAATGAGATATCAACAATGGTCAAATCAACCCCTGCCTTCTTATCCTCAGGTGACAAGTGTCCCCATGCATTTAATGCTGAAGATAATATAAAAGGCATTATGCATCTCCTATGCAAATATACTTCTTGAAATAATTATTAAGTGCATTCTCAAGGAAATCGACGCTCTTCTTCTATTATCCTATTCTCTTGTGTGTGAAAAAATTCATAGTGTTCTTCGTTTCCTTGCAAGTACTCTCTATGTTGTTCTTGTAAGTTCTTCTTTTTGTAAGATTGTTTAGGTTAGGTTATTATTTCCTTATTCCGCAACAATCTATATTGTATATCATGTGTGTTAATTCTTGATATACATCAATAAGAATTAAAAAGTTGAAAAAGTATGTGTAATTGTATTCAACCCCCACCCCACCCCACCCCACCCCACCCCACAATTACTTATTGTTTATTGACATCCCATTCGGGACCAACATATACACATGGAGTATAGGAAACTCTACATTGATCCCAATACGTATGCAATAATCATCAAATCTTTATGATGTAAATTCTCCAACATTTCAAGTCGTGTAGACTTGATGAAATAATCTGGGTGTGAGCCCATTAAACGTATAGCTAGCGCCAGGAGTGCAACATTTCGTGTGGACAATAATACGACATGCATTCATCATGTCAAAGATAGAACCATAAAGTACTTTAATAGTTTGCATTCTAGGTGTTTATGTTCATAAATATCACCTTGTATTTGTCGTAAAAATCAAATATTTTGTATTATGTCTTTAGCTTTAGGATGGTCTCATTAAGGATCATGGTTTAAAAAAAGTACTAGGTATTCTAGAGGCATATTATGATCGTGGTGTTGCTTCTTGTGCTATACAAGTCAACAATTGTAATTTGGTTAATTGCCCCGTATAAATATAATTAAGGAAGTGATTATTGTAATTGATTTATTCAAAAAAATATAAAAGTACAAGAATATCCTTGTTGATTTTAAAAATTATGGAATACAACTAATAAGAATAGAAAGATTTGATTGGCTAGTGGAGGTTCATAAAATTAACACTAATTTTTTATTAATAAATGATTAACATCTACGAAATAAAAAAACTAAGAGAACGAATATAAATCATACAATTCATTAAATAATACCTTAAATAAATAAAG